GACTGCGTACGGTCGGTGAGGAAGGAGGAGAACCACCGCATAACAGTGCCTCCCACTCCCAACCCACTCAACCGTCGCAGCATGATGCCGTGGTCTACGGTATCAAAAGCCGCCGAGAGGTCCAAAAGAACAAGGACAGAGGAATAACCCCTGTCCCGGGCCCTCCAGAGATCATTTACCAACGTGACCAATGCCGTTTGTAGCTCAGAGATAAACTGTGGGTTCTTTGGTATTCTCTAAAGCTGGTGGTTCTCTTACAGATTTTTCATTACCATACTAGATAACATCATCAATGCACTGCATCCCGTTGATGAATGATGCTTTATACAGCTGCTATTAGTTTATATGTACTAATCGATTAATTTTTGGCTGATAAATGCCAGTCTATTTAAAATGAAATCTAATTATTGCTGTAAGACTGGGTGAGAGCCACATAGTAATAATTACACCTGCTCTGTGGCTTTGCATAATTTTTTTAAGGAAAGTTTAAATTACTTTACTCTGTAGTTGCATCACTGTCATCAATACAAGCAATCCTCAATTTATGAACCAGTCACTTAGCCACAGTTCAGAGTTACAATATAGCTACTGGAGGGGCTATTTACAACCTGGATTTGAATTTCTGATGGTTATGCTCTCATTACAACTTACGATTGTGATGTGTGGGTCCCATTACTGTCATAGGTCAAGGAGTATCTGTACCTAATGCGGGGGTCTTCAAACTGCCTGGCTGAGGAATTCTGGGAGTTGAAGTCCACAAGTCATAAAAGGGCCAAGTTTGAAGACCCCTGACCTAATGTTTTACTTGGTGGCTTTGTTCTGCAACAGCTGTAACTCTGTATGTTTGTGTGTGAGAGAGAGAGAGAGAAGGAGGGAGGAAGGGGGGGGAGAGAGAAACTATATTAGTAGTCATGCTTGCTTTAACATGTCATAGAGCGGGGTGGGGAATGATGGCCCTTTTATGACTTGTGGATCTCAACTCCCAGAATTCCTGAGCCAGCATGGCTGGCTCAGGAATTCTGGGAGTTGAGGTCCACAAGTCATAAAGGGGCCATCATTCCTCACCTTTTTCATAGAGCATAAATTCATAGAGCTTACTGATAAACTTGCTGACTAACACATTACTTTGCATGATCAGTGAGAACAGGGATGAAAGTGATTACTGATCATGCAAAGTAATCTGTTAGTCAGCAAGTTCATCAGTAAGCAAGTATAATCTGTATAAACAGCAGTGAAGCTGTTGCAATGCGTGCATTTTTCTTTGATGCCAAAGAAAGTCAGGATTATCCCTTCAAACTAAAAGCAATGAGATTCATAGCCAATGGAAATTCACCTCTTCATGCAACACATAGTTTTCCTAGAATGTATAGAGATTAAATGTGATCTGTAAAAATTTACATGAGGTCTTCTTTTCGGGGTAGGCCTTACCTCACCTCCGGCACCGACAGCCCCACCCAGTCGGTCCACTTCTTCTGGGGCCGAAGTTCTGCAGCTGCATTCGGGCCTGCATTTGGCAGTCAAGCCTTTCCGAAAGGCCTAAGCAGCTGAGTACCGAGTTATGGATTCAATCCATAGCTTGGTGCTCGGCTGCTGAGTTCTTGCAGAACCGAGTTATGGATTGAATCCATAGCTCGGTTCTTGGCTACAAGGCCTTCCGGAAAGCTCTGTGACTGAGAAATGCAGGCTTGGCTACAGAAGAGGCCTCAGAAGAAGAAGTGGGCTGGCGAGGAGAGGCCTGGCTGCAAGGTAAGTGGGTGTGAGGCGAGTGGGGCAGCTCCACTCCCTACCCCAACCCTAGCTTGATTTTTAGCTGTGTGCCTCTAAGCTAGGGCTTATTTTTGGTGCAGGCCTTACTTTCGGGGAAACACAGTATTTACATGGAGAGGAAAGGTTTTCTGATCCAGATTGCACTTATTCCAGTGGGGAAAAATAAAAATACGTTGCTGGT